GTCAAATGCGTTTTGTATTACCGCTAGGTGGTTGCGCTTCGTTTTTTCCCACAGTTTGATTGTTTTCTGCCGAAAATATGTTTGAAATTTTCCGAAAACCAAAACTATTCCTAAGTTCCATATGTTCCTTCTTTTTGGCGCTCTCCTTTCCAAACTAATGATGTGTCCCTAGCGATTTTTTGAACTCTTCTGTTCGGTCATTGCCCAAGTTCGAGATCCCAATTCAAGTTTACCTGCATGGTTCTATTCTCTTGATCCACTAGTATTCTGATTGCTTGTTCTTGTACTTTGATTTCTGATTTACCGATGTAAAATTATCTAAGCTAAGCATTTGTCGTTGGTCAATCCTTTTTTGGCGGCGCATTTCAATCCAAAAGATTTAACGATATTTACTGGTATCGTGTTTTTGCCATCAAAAGAAAAGCAACTGCTTTTGCCTGTGTAACTTTTTGATGGAATACACCTGTTGGTGTGCTGTTTGAAGTGCTCAAAGCTTTTCTTCATTCGTTTTACGATCTGACTTCTTTTTGTTTTCTCACTCAACAGTTTTTTATTATTTAGGGTTTGGGTACAGAATGTGGTATAGCGTGGCACTGTTCGCTCTCCTCACATCTACTGCATCTGCATATTTCATTAATATCGATGCAAATGAGGAGCAGTGCTTTTTCGATCGTGTGATATCTGGAACAAAAATTGGTCTCATGTTTGAAGTAGCAGAAGGAGGCTTTCTCGACATCGATGTGAAGGTAAACTCAATAACCGTGACTATTACATAGCAGCGGCAGACTTCAATGGGGATTTTTCTCCTGAGAAAGGAAAAGAGGGAATGAATGGGATGATGAGTCACAGACAGGACTGAAGAGGTTCGGAGCATTAAAAAGGCATATGATGGGAAGCAAACATATATTGTATTCAAAGGCTAGGGTAATGTATTAGGCAAACTTTGTTAGTGGGTCCATGCTTGAAGCACTTAAAAGCGAACGCCAAATGTCCTTTTTGTTCTTCTTTGTTCCTTTAACAGTTTTGGTGTCTTATACTGCCCCGATGCTTCTCAAAACTATTATTTTTTATGTTTTATCTCTGGATACTGTCTTCTATGATTCTTCGTCAAATTCTGCACCATTAACAAAAGCGTTCTTGTCCCATTTAGAAATAGCAGATTGTAATTGCCACAGCGCATAAATGTTAAGCATGCTCGTTCCGTAGATTGATATTGATTCATAAGATGAATTTAAAGGTTTCAAGTTAAAGGAATCTTGCGCGGAAAATTCTTGCACTCTTTCCTAACATGAATATGTCAGTTGTGATCACTGGAAAATAGCACACAAAGTTTCACGCATGAAGATTCGGTTTCTGAAGAGAAACAAACGTACAAAAACTACACGTTATGGACCATCGAAGGACCAGGAGGCAGAGCCAGGCGAGGCATGGAAAGAAGACGGCGTTTGGCCGGCTACGTACCAGGCGACGCAATGAGAGAATCGGGTTAAAGCGCGCGATTTCGGAGAGTGGAGACAAATCGATCGATGGAATAGGATGGAGTAGAAGTGTAAGATGTGAATGCAACGAAGCAGAAGGCCAGAAAGAGCTTCTAGTGAATGCACTCCAAGAACCAAGTTTGAGCATCCCCGTCGCCAGCATTCGTGAAAGACGTCCGTGGGCAATTCGAACGCGTAGCAGCCTTTTCGAGTTTTCGAATTTCTAATCAAAACGAAAGCAATACTTCAGTTCTTTTCACTATTATCGTGGATAATGAGTCTCAAGCCAGTGATTTATGGCTGAAATAGAATCATGATTTTTCCGCGCAAGATTCCTTTAAGGCTTTACTGGCTTCGGAAGCGCCTATTTGCGATATGCGTGTAGATTGTTGAAGATTGGTTTTTGTTCCACTATATTCTCCTGTTCGTAAAGTGCCATGCTTGAATATGGTGGAAGTCCGCTTTGCATTGAGCATTGCTTAGCTTGGACGAAAAAAACCATTTGCTCTCCTCGATAAAAGGATAAAGGATAAAGCATTTGCCGTTGATCAATCCCGTTTTGGGATGCGGCACGCATTCTACTTCCATTTGTACATTCGCAGTGGCATTTGAATGCGATGTGGCCTATACAATGACTTGCGGGGGCCAGCCGATGTCAAGTCAGTGTCTCCTCGGATACGTAGTAGAAAGAAAGTTACCTTGCATTGTCTGTTGGTCTCGTCGAATTCAATGGCATTAGAGATAGTAGTTTCATCCCTCTGACTCCTTTACCTTAGGACGCATCGTGTACCCAGGTTCCACTCTAAATCGGTTTTTCGAGTTTCATAGGATCCAAACAGTGTCTTTGCTGCAGCGGACAGATGGGAATGTAACATCTGAATTTTTCACCCCCACAGAACTGCCTATTTCGGTCCACTTTTTTCGTATAAACTGGTCGATCATCTCGAAATGATCCGTACTGAAAGAGGGTTCCAGGAGAAGGCCGTTCTGAAGGCCATTCTGGCAGTTCATGTTCTCTTAGAGTTGGTCAGCTAACATTATGGTCATCTCACTATTGTCCGTACTAGAAAAGGATTCCCACTGAAGGTTCTTTTCAGACTGTCGCCTAGACCCGCACCCTGAAAAAAGCAGTTTACTCCATGAAAACTTATTGCAGTGGAGCTGCTACTTTTTACCTTTCGAGAAATTTCTCTTCATCACTCAAACGAACATTTTGACTTTGTGATTTCAGATCACTGGACCGGACAATAAGATAATTTACAAGGGTGAACGAGAATCTTCTGGTAAATACACTTTTGCTGCACACATGGATGGTGTTTACACCTACTGTTTTGGAAATCAAATGAGTACCATGACTCCTAAGGTGAAGGAAGGCTTGCTTATGTTGTTTACTTTTTAGCTGACTTCTTTCTTGTTGTTGTTATGTTTTTTTAAAAGTTCACAAGACCATTTTCTGGAAAGGAAATTTTAAGAATTCAAGAGTATCTTTATGAAATAATTTTCGAATTCTTTTACGTAGTTTACAAGCACCGTGATAGAGGTGTGAAAGTTTTGTTTTTCGAATTGGTATGCAATCCACCCAGTTAGTAGCTACTCAAGATTGGGAATCCAATAGCTAGTGAGAGTATGGCCTAATCACCAAGTATTGCGTAAGGTTTTTTCTATTTCAAAACAGTGGTCATTATCCAATATTTATTTTTGCACAAAATCGCTGACCATTTGGCCAAGATCAGCGGATCTTTGGAAAACTGCCTTCGAATTCACTTCTCTTGTAAATTTCTCGTTATATATTGTATAGTCATTGAGCATGTTTATAGGCTGTCATGTTCACTATCGAGATCATTGAGCCACATCAGCAGCAACAAGGCGCTGCACCAAACCAAGATGCTGGTAAGGCCCTACATACTTTGTTATGTCTTGTTACTTTTTCTTTTTCTCTATTTCTTTCATATTTTTCGTTTTCTACAAACTCTTTTGTCTGTCATAATAACTTTTACATCGCTCGTTTAGCAGATAATCAAAAATTGGAAGAAATGGTTCGAGAGCTGTCTACTGCGCTCATGTCCGTGAAGCACGAGCAGGAGTACATGGAGGTCAGGGAGCGTGTGCATCGATCAAGTAGAGTCCCATTCCCCCTTCTACTAAGAAGCCTGATTTCAATTTCTAATTACTGGCGAAGTTGGTGAACCATAGCCTCAATGCCACATTAGTGCGCCTCTTATCTCATTTCTCCAAATTAAGGCATCTTGACGTCCTTCATTAGATATGATAACAGTTATGGTTCCGATCTAAGCAAGACATGAAAAGGAAGTTCCCTCACGGATCTTATGAACCTGAAGGAAGTGACCAGCAAAGCAGTATTTATTGAAAGTAATGCGTCACTCTTCCATTTTTGGTAGAACCAATATCAACTAACATACGCTGACATAACCCGAAAGGCTGCGGTTCGGAGCTGAACAGAAGCACAAATTCTTTCTGATCGTCGAGTTCTCATTCCCTCCGTCCCTCATAATTTAGTGATGGGTTCAGTACGCTTCTAAACGCATATTTAGTTCTAAACTAATCAGCTGAATACATGGAGTTTTGAACTAATTATTCAGAATTGATATGCAAATTAGTTACATGGTTTATCGTTTTACAGTCAACGAAAACACCAATAGTCGAGTAGTCCTGTGGGCGGTGTTCGAGGCGCTGGTGCTCGTGTCGATGACTGTTGGACAAATATGGTACCTCAAGCGATTCTTCGAAGTACGCACGGTCGTGTGAGTCAGCAGACGTGTTATTAGGTCAGACGAGTTTTCGAAGCCCTGTGAACCAGGCCTCGTGTGCTCATTGATAATAGTATGGAGTGTTCGCCATTTTTCTTTCTTTTCGAACGGTCCTCAATAATCGTTCATGTTCTTTTTTTTCTCATACGTTATTGTGTGCGTCTTCCACTCGTATATCTGTTTGGCCGATATTGTTGCCTTATTCCTTCAGTGTATGAGAGTTTTCACAAGTAAGTATGATGATATAGTACTCGATTCGGCTGTCGCCATTACTGAAAACGTCAATGATAGAGTTCCGAATCATATCGTAGCTATTTCTGGGTTTTCGGTAGGAAATTCAAAATTCTAATTATTACTGAAAGAGATGATGTTCCTTTTTTTGTTCTAAAGGTTACGAGTTCTGTATATTTATTTGTCTCTGTGATGTTACAGTGTAATGTTGTTTCTGTTATAGTAAATTTACTTTTATCAGCGTTGTGTTCCTGTGACAGGCTAGGCTTCGGCAACGCTACGCAACCGCTCGCGACTTGTCATGGGTTTCTCATGCATTGTGAGAATCACGTATTTGAAAAAGTGATCCAAATATGATTTTACAGAACATGTACATCACCACTAGAGAGCAAAATTCTTGGCCAACTCCTCGAAGACCTGCCTGAATCGCTCCTTTCCCAAAACGAGTAAAATTATTCCATTGATCGACGAATAACAGATTAGTTGTAGCGTTGTAACCCCAGTAGGTTTGGTTCGGCTCGTCGACCAGCATTGGCTTGATATCGACTATTTGGCATTTCGCACATCTGAAAAATCTTTTTTTTGGGATCGTGCTATTTTACACAAAAAGGACAGCTCGTGGACAAGAGCTCGTTTCGGACGATTTTTCCAGTGTGGGGGCGGGGTTTCGGGTCAGCCCTTTTGAAGCCGTCGCACTAATCGCATAGAAGAAAGAAGTATTTAGTTCATGCAGTTTCATTTTGCCAGGTTTGCGCTCATACTTAGCAAAATTGCCTTGCAGCAGTCAACAAATGTAACACATAAGCAGCTCTGCTACTGGGCAAAGCTGTGGGATGTGAGGTGGCGGTGACGAGAGG